CAACAATTCTGCTAGTCCATGTCTTGCAGCACAGTCACAGGCTAACGATTGCCTGCTCTTCAAACTCGTTTCTGAATCGAAAGCTTTTGCTTGCTTTCTAGCGGGGGGCTGCTGTAGTGACCATGATTGTACGAAGAGAAGGAGCAATCCACGAAGACGTTTTCCGTTCACATTTTCTTCACAATCAACTCTGACTCCAACTGTCATATTTCTTTGCTTTACTTCTGCTTGTTTTACCGAGCACGGTTTTCCTTTCAGGTGTATATATAAGCTGGGTCCTGTTCAAACCCACGCAACACGTGTGACACGCTTTCGCTTTGCTACTGCATTTATTGCTTGCATTGTTTAGCGTCACCTTGGCACTTTTCAGTACTATCTAGTGCCACAATTCGCCAATAAACGTCTACGACTCCCACGAGTATTTTTGTCTACTTCGGGCAACGAGACACTAGGAGGTCGCGCGCATTTTGAGACTCGTAAGAGGACTTACCGGCAGGCCGTCAACTCCGGTTAGCTTCACAAGTTACCTGAAGATGTAATCAACTGCACATGCTCCAAAGTGTTTAGGTGCTCTAGACTCCTACTGGGCTGAGACGTTCCGAGAGTTTGGCATCCAAAACAGGTATTCTTCCGGCATCAACGGGAACAAGCCGATGGTAGCCAGGGGACCTACAACGTAAGGGGTTACCCAATGAAATAACGTGTACGGTGCATACGCACTGATGGAACTCTTTTATTGAAGATCTCTCACCGAACAAGAGAGAAGGCAACTTTTGCTTCTTCTTTTACGGCACCGCTTGTGAAGACCTCCACAATTAGAAACTGTTTTGGTTTCGGTGTTCTTGACTTTCTAAAATGCTCATTTCCCAGAATAGGTCGAGATAACTTTCAGATTCTCTGTAGCATGTCCATCCGACCCTTATTGAAATACGGAAGTAAAATTGCTCACTCCCGCTTGGTGAGCGACTGTACGGCCCTCGAGCGTGCACAACGGAGAGTGGCAGAACTTGTGCACGACCTGTTCCCTACTCCTTACCCTACACGCGTTTCCATCTTGAATCCGTACCCCCTTGAAACCCGCCGGATAAGAGGTGACGTCTTCATGCTGTACAAACTCCTCAATGCCGGCAGGGTCGAGGACTTCTTTGTACGCACTAGCATGGATAATCTCCGTGGACATAGCACGAAACTCTTCAGACTGTGTACACGTACACTAGTCAGTCAGTGCTCTTTCACCCACGGGGGCATTCCTCTTTGGAATAGCCTCCCCAAGAAATAGTAAATGCCCCCATAAAATCCGCTCCCAAGAGGAATCTAGGTCTGTATCTTGGCCTAATCCCTGAACGGTAAGCATCTCCCCGTCCCATAGTGTTATTCGTGTTCCGTATTTCTTCCTGAACTTTCCGATTTGTCTGTCTGTATGTGGATACTGCACTCCCTCCCCTCCTCTTACCTCATTTCAGATTGCCTTCTTGTAAGAACAAGAGGCGGACTCAATCTAATTATCCAACATCAGCAGTGGAGCCTAGTTCATAGCCGGCTTGCCTGGACGCAGGACCAGAAGAAACATTGCTTACCACTAAGATCCGGGGCCATTGGGCCTAGCCTCGCACCCATGTAATACTTCAAGACGTAAAAAAGGAATCCATTTGATAATATAATACGCAGTTTTGGAAGCACACAACATTTGCCCACAACAAAACGAACTGGACGTGCTACTGGCGAGAGCCACTTGTCGTCCTAAGAAAATGAACTGAACTGACGCGCAGTGTTAGGAAGCCAAGTTGACGCACCGATAAGTCAGGTTGCGCAGGGCTGATAATGGCTACGGCGACAAAACGAACTGAACGCATGATTGGCCTTGATCTTTTCCCTCCTGTGCAAACTGAAAGAACTGAACGGAAATTTGAAGCTTGGAACCAAGACGGGATTCAGCGGATCCCACAGGCAGTCAAGGGCTGGGGCACAACCGTCGGTACGGAGGGCAAAGCCCCCAATTTTAAGATCAATATGAGCCAGGTCTCACTTTTAATTGTACCAATAAGGGCAGTAAAGGCCATGGGGCGACCGCTCAGCGTCACACCTAACGCAAAAAGCCATACGCAGGTGGTATCTAAGGCAAAACCGAATCAGAAGAAAATACTACCGTCTCCCCCAAATGAAGTCGTGGATCAGACGCTGACGCCGATCGCGATCTCCAGGTTTGCTTAGACTCCAGATTCTATTAAGACCGGGATAGGGGCAGAGGGACACATCCCGGAGAAAGGGACGTATGATAGATGTTCACTGGCCACCGAAACTAGAGATCAGGACAACTCGGTAATCAACGATACGGTTATCGAAATGGCGTCTAGCCCCACCGGAGCAAAGCCCCTTGAAAGGAAGGATAACTACTCCATGCAGGTCGTAGAGCGGACTATTACGTCAAAAAACGTAGTTAGACCTCGGGTGCTGCGCTCGAGGGCACTGATAAGTTGAGAGAGAAACACCCACCGGCACCGGTTTTCCAGCCACAGCCTAAAGCTGTGGTACACAAATGTGTGCAGTGTTGGAAACAAATGGGGTGAGCTAGCGATTAGGAGCCAGGATTGCGACATTGTAATCGCTACAGAAACATTGTTGTCCAAAACCATATCAGTTGAACTTCAAGCCCCTTCAAACTTCACTCACTACAGAACTGATAGGGAGGGTGGACCAAGTGGCGGGATCTTGCTGCTTGTTCGTCGGCAATATATTCATTGGGAAATGCCTGAGCTAACACTCCGTACACCAACAGGGCAAGCTACAAGGTGCATCTTAAAATACAGAGGCCGACACTTCTGCATATTAGCCATATACGGGTCACCAAGCTCTGCACCGGAGGATGATCGAGCGCTAATAGACCTCATTGCCACAATAGGAGCTTTATTCATCAACCGAACCTATGGAGTTTGGGTTCGAGAAGCTCTGTCCAACATTGGCAGCGTATCCAGTGGAGTGCCTAAGGGCTCAGTGTACGTCAAGCAATTCGCACTTGAGTGACGCGTAGCCGAAACCGATACGAATCCCGAAAAAAACACCATTGATCCGTAATGTTATACTGTACTAAATTAATGAAATCATTACAAAATGTAAAATAAAGCGAACCTCAAATATGCGGCCAAGAGCACTCAAGCAAGCGAGCCAAACAAGATGTCCAGAGAGAGCCAAACGGTCGCTCACGTTCTCTGACCACGCCAAATTCAAATGTGCCGGGTATGGAATTAACAGATAAAGAATGATGTATGGTGTTTGTGATTGAGAAATGTCAATAGAGAAGCAACATACAGATAGATTTATATCACCCTGAATCATCATGGGTTTGGAAGGATTTTCAAAAATTCAACATGGAATACACTCAGTGCTAGGCCTGATGCTATAACTGCTATTTATAAATGACTTGGTCCAGGAACTAGCGGTTCCTGCTATCATCTTTGCCGACGACGTGAAACTAGTAAACTCAGAACCTGCAGAGCAACTAGAAGCTGATCTGGCGAAGGCTGAGTGGTGGACAGAAGTGGGACTTAGAGAGAAGCGCTACCAAGTGTCCATGTTCTTAACACCGTAGGGCTTCGGTTTCGAGTGGCTACGATCACGGAACCGATAGTATTCGGCCGAGTAGACCGAATGCTGGATTTGGAATTTTGATCCTCGAGGACTTTAAGTCCGGTGATCAATGCCTGGCCGCCACGCAATAAGCGAGGGGGGTTGTGCCGGCTTAAGGTGGCCCTACCGTCAAGGAAGGCTGGGGTTTTCGTACCTCTATATAGTTAGGCGGCAGTTAGAATACTGCGTGCAGGCTTGGGCGCCTTACTTGAGGAAAGATATAATTTGCATTTAGAGAGTGCAACGGTTAGCCATTAGGATGAGCGCGGGAATGATGTGTAAACCATATGGGGAGAGGTCAGAATCTTTAGGGCTTTTCGACCATGGAGAGAATGCGCTTGAGAGGTGATATCATTGAAACCTTCAAAAAAATAAAGGGACTGACTGGGCTAGAGGCGGACATCCTGATTACCCGAGTACCGTTCGAGTCAAAAAGACGGCATCATTTGAACCCAATAAAGCCCAGGAGGCGACTCAACCTTAGGTACAACATCTTCACGAGTAGAGTGATAGATGAATGGAACCAACTACCACCTTCACTGCTGGACTGTAGGGCAGTCGATGAGTTCAAAAGGCAAATAGATGGGGTCTGAATCAGCCTCTATCTAGCGATTTTGCAGGGTGTCTACTATTGATGGTTGGTGTTCCATTCAGCCCATTTTCGAATAACTTCCCTTTACAGATACAGACCCGATTAGGGAGGCTGTTCCGAATGAAGAAATCGGCTGTGGTCAAACGGTCGACAAGAAGTCAAAGCTTCGGAAGAACGTGGTTCCGGCTGGAGCGAGAATATGGACGCTCGGTTGTCTTGAGGTCTTGAAGTTACCCTCGGGTTCGATGCTGGCACCCAATTGTCCCGGGTCCTTGATGGTTTCTTGTTGTCTGTTCGTGGAGATGCAACTGGGAAATCAGAAAACACTGGAGGGGCAATATATCGTCTTTCCAGGGAACTAGCGATGTTAGTTATTCTAGCAACAATATTAATAAACGTAACAATTTGCCATAGAAGATGGGCAAAAGCATAGGTACATAAAAAGGGTTATAGTAATTTTTGTTTGTTTTTTGTTGTCGTTGTTTTTGGAGGAAGGCTTAGGAGGAGGCAATTAGACCTTAATTATCAAGTTGAGACTTGAAAGACTCTTTGCTTGTTGAAGATATTATTTCTTCTGACAATGCGTTCCGGTGTGAAATCACTCCGAGAGTGAAGAAAGATGTGCGGAGGGTGGTGCGTGATTGAGATTTGTATAGATCTTTGCTATTACCCCGTTGGCGAAAGCCTTTACCGTTATGTACAACCTGATGTGACCTGACCTGAGATTTGTTTGAATCGACCTTGTCCACTGGCACAGGTTTTGGTTTTTCGTCGTGGTGCGAGGATGCAGTTGTTTGTGAAGTCTTTTGATACGCATGTCGTTAATACCGAGAGTTGTCAAACCGGGGCTGATCTGAAGCTCTTCCTTGCTAACACAGATGATCTCCCCCTGGATGGTGTTCAACTGTACCATGGCTCATCGTTACTGAATGATGACTATCCACTCGTGAATCTGGATCCAGAATCTCATATTGACGTTGTTGTTCCGATTCTTGGAGGTCAGTCATTTCTTTTTATCCTTTCGAGTTTTGTAGGTAAGGTTCATGGGTCCCTCGCTCGTGCTGGGAAGGTTCGTGCCCAAACACCTAAAGTGGAGAAACAAGAAAAGAAGAAAAAACCACGAGGCCGTGCTAAACGACGCATGCAATACAACAAGCGCTTCGTCGCCGTTGTACAGCTCGTCGGTGGTCGCCGCCGTGGACCGAATGCAAATGTTAAGGCATAGTGTTCATGTGGAGTTGAATAAAAGCTTTTGGAAATATTGGTCTGACTGTTTCGCGCAGCGGCGTTATTCATGGGACGTCAGTATGAGCGCCTGACCCAGAGGTTAGTCGTAAATATCGGACTTCCGGTACGATTTACCATCTCCAGAGCCGGCACCTCGTATAACTCCGTGTTACCGACATCGATTTCATTGAAAAATGTGGTCAGATGAAGTGCATAAGTACTAATGTCCGGCTTTATCAAAATGTTTATACGGTCAATGTAACGAAATGTGTTCTTAGAAAATGTAGGCTACTGTCTTTTTTCAACCATCAGGGAGAATGCGTGATTTTTACGTGTCCTGCACGGTGCTACGGAATCTCAAACGGTGAAGTGCATTAACGTTTATAGAATGCAGAAGACAGGCAATTGTCGCATTATTCTTTGCTTGTGCACCCATCCACTGTTAGGTATTTCCAAATTTTCCCCTAAATCTCGGCGTGTTCACCATTATCAGTAATTCTTGTGTTTCTCTTGATAGGAGCTCGTAGAATAGCATCCTGATTTCCGTTTACTCAGGATAACAAGCATGCAAACTCAAGTTTCCCTCACGTGTACGAAGCGCGATGGAGCTTAACGTCCAGAGTCTATTCTTGGTTGATTTCCACTTCATCAGAGCGTGCGACCTCCGTTTGATGACTAGAATTCTAGGTGGGAATACAGTTTGAATATAAAACTGTCTATCTTGACCACCTGTGTGTGCTTCGTAGGCTTCATCTACACGTAAGTAATTTGGTACTCACGAAATCGGCAAACTAAAACCTGAGACCATGGGTGGTAGGCAAAGCGCGATGCCTGGGTACGCGTGCCACGAAAGTAACGCAGCTGTTGCAGATTTCAGTCCGTGAATTCCGGTACTCAAGTCACACCAGCGAACGATATCAATCCTTAGACTACAATCCTATCCGAATTGGAACGTGAACAAGATCCGGATCACGGTCGTCAGCCAACATTTAATTTGCTGACGAGCTTAAGTCCTCTTCATGTTACTTTCATAGGCAACATAGCCGCTGGAATTCAATAAACCCAGTAAGGCATGACGTTTTCATGTAATGGTAATCGTTCACATTGAAGTGTAAGTGTAGGTGAACACAAATCGTTCATTATTGGAGTGCTTGAGGCAGGTTTGCTGTTTAATTATCCGCATATTTCAGCTCTAACTATGCTGAAGACGATGGTCAGATGTTAACGTGATTGTCTCAATGTTTCCATGCTTGCATCTAAAGTGAATTGTTTGGTCACGAGGTCTAGTGTGGCTTATCGCTCCGTTTCAGCGTTTGTCTTGATCTCGTGGCCACTCTTGGTTTTCTACTTAGAATTGGCATATTTATTTTAAAAGGTGCGTCGGTTCAAGCTTGTCGGTTTACTTATCCTACTTTGGTTCACCTAGCTGGTAACCGAAAAGCAGTAAGGAAGACCGCTGTACGACACGGCTATAGAATCGCAGGGCAATACGTATTACATGTCCGGCGTGAACCACAATACACACCTAGGTTATCAGTTTTCGCCGAATAGCAGGTCAACGTGACCAGGGGGTTCATCCCACCGGTTTGCCATACGAAATGTTTCGTCAAAAATCTGTGGCATTCGAGAACTTCCGACAGCGCACGAGCGTCATTCCCAACTCCGGTCATCCCAACAGTCATGTCATGCAGCGTGGATTGAACCATTCGAACGCCTATTGTTCAGCTCTTATAACGATCACCTCGTTTAAGAAAGGCCCTTATTTTGCTTTAGCATCTTGAAGTCATCATCATCGTACTGCGAAATACTGTGAGGCGAACTTCACTGATCGCTGCCAGACTCGCAATGTATACAAGGTTAGTGGTAAAATTTAAGGTGGGCAGGGATTGGAGGGGGAAGAAGCTGAACCTCTAAGGTCAACACAATACGCAATCGAACTCGGCGTACATACCGTTTCAAGCATACTGATCTGGTAAGAAACGACAGCAAGAACGCCACTGCTGTCGGTTTGCTGCTATATCCCTCAATATCCCCAAACAACCAGTTGAGTCTTTCGGACCCCAACCTGGGCACCTACTCTACCTAATGACTCCGTGCATTTCTTCATTCATCGTCATCTGTTGACCTCCACGTGGTTTCATCCAGCCCGGATTAGCTACAGCGAATACAGCGCGGTGCAGCAGACGACAGCCTGTCATACGCAATACGTGCCCTAGCCAGCGAAACCTACCAATCTGAATTCGATGTACCCGCAGTTTTATCCCTGAAGGACTCCCAAACACATGACGGCTTACCTCCAGTTTACCAGACCGTTCGCTCCATCCCACGTGGGCTAAACTGCGTAAACACCGATAATCAAAAACTTCTAGTCGACGGATATCTCCTGACCATTTAGTTCCAGAGCGGGAGTAGGCGAAACCCAGTCCTGCAGCATCATTTCGCACTTTGAAGGTGCAAAGCACATACCGAATGTGGCTACTGCACTAGCACTCAAACTATCCGGAAAAGCTTGCAACTTACCTGGATCTTCGCTTAATAGCGCAATGTCGTCTGCGTACTCAAAATCAGATAGTCTGACACCCGGGATTGAATCGATACCGCTACCCTCGCACGAGGATAGGGCTGTTTCAAGAATTAAATCTATGGTAAAGTTGAATAGGAACGGAGAGAGTAGGAAACCCTGTTGAACACCACTTTCTGCTGTGATTTCGGGTGGAAAAGTGCCGTAAGCTCAGGTTCGGTTTCGGCTATCATTGTAGAGGGTTTGTAATATTGAAATAAACTTGTCGGGCACACCCTTTAGAGCGGGGCTGTGCCGCAGCCGATCGAGGAATATGGAAATGGTATCTGTGTTCTAGGATTTGACAAACAGTGAGGATGTGGTCAATACAACCGACCAGGTGGTAGGCAGCTCTGCTGTCGGCCGGTTCAATACCACACCCAACCTATCGGGACCTTATGTGGTTTACCTCACCAAGTCCCGGGGCTTAGGTTACCGGTTTTCACCACTGAACAACAGGCCCTCGTGATTATGGAGTTCCACCCCGTCTGCTGTTGATCACACGAAAGTGTATAATGAAAAAGGTCTGAAACCAGCGTGATTCTCACGTGAGCACTCTTCACGTGTGTCAGACACCTGACGGAGTACGATACCGGCGAGAAGTTTAGAAGCAATGTTGATTAAACTAATTCCTCTGTGGTTTTCACAAGAGGACCAGTCGCCTTTCTTGTAAATCGGTACGATGACCGGTTAACACCATTCCGCTGGGATCTGTTCCATTTCCCACACCGAGCCCAGGTGTTTCGTTAATTCTAAGATCAAGGCTGAACCTCCATCCTTAGAAGCCGATTGGGACAGCCCGTCTGGGCCGGAGGCCTTAAACCTTTTGAGATAATTTATTTCTTGGGTAACCACCATTTCAGCTGGAGGAGTGATGTCAACTGGCAGTATTTGCCCAGTCGAGGTGGAGGGTGATAGTTCAGATGTCGATGAGGGCCAGTTGAACATAGCCGCGAAATGTTCAGTCCATTGATCAAGACCTCGTTGCTGGTCGTAAGTCAGTGTGCCATTGGATTCCTCACTAGTCTCCAAAAGCCTCAGTATGGTCGGGGGTGGGTGTCTAGTGTCGCGGCTGGTTACCCTTCCCTTGCACCTCGCGAAATGCTCCCATACAACCAAGCACCTCGAATAGCCTCTGCTGAGGAAGCCCTACTCACTGCCTTCTCCTGGCGGAGGTGTTTTCCCACCAAAGTGAGGACGAAAAGCCGATATTCGGATCGATGAACTGGACAACGACTCCCAATGGACTGCAGTTTTCACACACCGCCCCGCTGATTTGCGGGTCAGGCTTTGGCTAGCCGAAGGCCC